AAAACGAACTCTTTCAATGATACTCTCTTAATGTATATAAAGCAAATTTTCAAAACTATTCAACTTAAAAATTTGTATCAAATCTATGCGCATCAATATAGATTCATCTATAAAGTTCGTTTTGATTTCTTCTTATTTGACAATAGGTAGAAATTCTCTAGTGAGACTGAAAATATAAATTGACAGTAGTATTTATTTATGCTAGTCATAATGAAAAATAACTTTCAATAAACTTCTACTATTAACCAAAAAAAAAGAAAAGTTCAGTCCATTCGAGTGAACCGAACCGGAGATATTTCAATTTATTATCGTAGTACTATTTATGTCCTATTCTGTTTATAACATATGTTTTATTTGAAATATGAAGAAGACTTAAAATAATATGAATGATACAAAATCGGAAATTTTTCACTTTCAAACTGATTTATTTTAAATATTCTACTATATATAATTACATATCAACGATAGAAATATGATAAAAAGAGTTTTTAAGTTTTACATTAGTTTTGTCAAATGAATCACTTTAAAGCCATTTTTGAAATTTTTCTAATACTTAATGCATATTTGATATGGATATCTCTGTCGTTCGTCGATAGCTAAATGAATCCAGTCTCAATGAATGTTATTTGTTATTATAAGAATAATAAAATTTTCAATCAAAAAAGAAATATATTCTAATTTTGAAAATCTTCACTGAAAGAAAAAAGATATTTAACAAAAAAGAAAACAATCGACCAAATACAATAGATTTTCAATCTATTGTATAAATTAATGATATATGTATGTAGAAAAGAAATTGAACTTATTAACAATATTCCACGTTTTCAATTGAAATAAAATCTTATACAAATATCATTTTTTAATTTTTTTCCAATAAATCAGTCAATATTAAATTATATTGAAAAAAAAAACTTTTCAATACGATAATGTAAAACTATTTTGTAAATGGTATTGATTAAATTGAGATACTCGATTTATATTGTATTTTATCTGAGTAAAATAATTATTTAAAATTTTAACAATCGATCATCTAAATATAAATCGATTCGTTATATTGTTCGTAGTTATTTCCGATTTGACGCACATATCTAATATATTCTAATTATATTGATCAAGCTTTCGTTGTTTTGTTTTGTTTTTTTTTCTTTCGTATTAAATATATAAAAAGCAAATATATAGTCATCTGTTTTTTTCTCGTAATACAATCGAAAGAAACGATAATCGTTTAAGTCTTTACTCTTTTTGATATGATGAGATTCAAAATCATATTGTCAATTATAAATGATTCATGTATTATATTCTATTTAAAATATGAAAGAAAAAGAGACAGATAGTTGAAAAGATATCCAATATGGTAAAATAGATGTGACACGATAATATGCATTGCTCGGTCTGTTTATTTTCAACATACCTTCGAGCAATATATAAAGAAAGAGCATGAAATCAATGGGGATATACATATACGTATATGTGTTCAATGACTGATGACTATTCATATTGATCGAGCTAGTCATTATTATCTGTATCTTTTTTTTTTTTCTCGCTTTTTACCGACAAATTTATGGTTGAATGCGTTTCATATAAGTATACACTTCTTTTTCGAATCAAAAAAACGAGAGAATGTGTGAGACAGAGAGAGAAAGAAAGTTTGCGACAATAGTATAAATACAAGCACATATGAATTTATTGCAACAGTAGTAAATTTTAATTCAAACGAAAGCATTATTCAAAGAGATTTTGTGATGTTGCTTTTAATATTTCACATTCTCTTTCAATAGTGCCTTTGTCTACTTTAATACAACTACGAAACAATAAGAAAAGAAGAAAACAATAATAATAAGGTTAAAAGTAAGGGTTTAGAAACTATATCACATGGAGACATAATTTTAAACACGAAAAACAAACAAGAAGAAGAAGAAAATGATAATTATTTAATTGTCTTCATGTATCAAAAATCCACCAAATGTTGTATATCTCCAACCATATAATGATGTTTTAAAATGATAATCACCATCATCACGTGATTGTGCACGTATATATATTCGATCACCTTTATTTAAATATAAAATAACTGTTGTTGATGCTGTATTCCAAATAGGTACTTTTTGATTTTTAACAGCTGTTAAAAAACCTTCGACCCATAATGGTACAACATTTTCCGTATTTTTACATAAAGCAACTGATGCCTAAAAAAAAAAAACAAACATACAAATCAATTAGAAACAAAATAAATATCGAACATAGGTTTTTTTTAATCAAAAAAAAAATTCAACATACAATTTGATTAGCTGGTACACAAACAGTTAAACTAAATTCATATAAACCATTAATAGGTGCATAATAAATACCAGTATTATTATTTAGATTTAGATTTTTATTTAATATAACATCATCCCATATGATAATAGCAGCACTATCTTGTAATGAATATGATTTATTTAATGCAACAAAAAAAGCTGATTTTAAATTTGAATAACCATCACGACCTTGAAAATAAGATTATTGATAGATTTAAAAAGAAAAAGATTTTGTCTTTTTGTTTTTTTTCAAGTTTACCTGGTGGTCCAGGTAAACCTGGAGGACCACTTGGACCTTGCATGCCTTGTTTACCCGGTGGACCTGGTGGTCCTAAAACACAAAAAAACTTGTTTTGTTTTTTTTTTTTTATATCAATTCTTATCTTTCCGAAGAAAGGAAACAAAAGAGTACCGGGTGGTCCTTGAATATCAAGTGTAACACGACTTCGAGCATCTAAAATCAAAAGGAAAAAAAAACAAATCACTAGTCAAAAGATTTTTCTTCAACTATTTACTTGGACAATTAATATGTAATTTGCATTGATTTGTTGATGATTTTTTGTTTCCTACATTGCCATATGTTACTGCTAATGAAGATGATGGATATTGTTGATCAGGATAATCATTGCTATTTGGACTTCGTCTACCTGTATCCGATGATGGCATTGGTTGTTGTTGCTGTTGTTGTTGAGATCGATATTCATAATAATTATATGGTGGTGGTTGTTGTGCTGCATAAGGACCAGTATTAACTGATGGTTCAGGATCAGCTGTAACGATGATCGATAAAATAATGAATCCGAATATGATTGAGTAAAACATTATAAATACTCAAACTATAAAAAGTAGAAAAGAAAAAAAAAAAAAAAAAACTAAAATAAGGTGTGGATAATTTCATCAAGTGTATCGAAGTAAAAAGTTTTGTATCGAACAACAGGAGGTAGACAAATAGGATTGTTTTTCAGTTAAGATATGAAATTGAAAAGAGAGAAGAAAAAAAAAATTGATGTAATATATAGAATCTGTTTTTTTTTTCTTATATGATGTTGGTTGATTAAACAATTTCCAACTTGTTATATCTACATGTCTGTCTATGAATTGGTATATATATATATAGCAATGTGTCAAAGTTCTTATTTTGTATTGACATACACACTTGTTTTCTCTCTATAGAAGAAAAAAAAATCGTCTATAGAAAGACATCTACCTTATTTCCTTTGCATATATATAGGTTTGCCTTGATAATACTTAGAAAACGAAGCATAAGAAACACACGCACTTGATTAATTATTGAATAAAATCCAAACCTATACGATGTCTTTATTTATCATTCGTTATGTTGTTGTTGTGACAAGAGAGACGACAGAATCAGAATAAAGAATGAAGAAAAATCTGAAAAAAAAAACGGAAAAGTCACCGAGCAGCATAGTAAAAGGGGTGTTCAAGATTGATCTTTTCTTCTTATTCTTTCTAACTCTTTTAGTTGAATAAAGAGGGAAAAAAAGATGATGACGAGAAATACGAGCAACAAAAAAAAAAAAAAAAAGAAGAAAATGTAAATAGTACACCTTTCATTCTCGTCGTATTGCTTTCCGGTTTTCAAAAAAACCTATTCTTTGTATACAACAGAATATAGATGCATGCTTTTCTCACTGATTTTCTAATGTGTCAACATAAAAAATGAGATTTAATGAAGAGAAATGAGTCTAGATATAGGTGCGGTCTTTTTCTTCTGTCATAAAAAAAAAAAAAAACATAAACCTAATCAAAATCGAAGGTCGAATCGTGGTTTTTTTTCTGTTTTTACTATATGGATGGATAACATACCGATCGAATTTCTCATGAAGTGTATGATGTGTCTTCTCTTTTTCTCTTTCTATTAGTTTACGATGATAAGGGTTATGTAGGATGTGCCAAATACATCGTAATCACATAAATTACAGTTCAATTGATGCAATCAACAGTTATTCTGAGTTTTTTTCGTTTTTGCCTACGGCTATTCATGTTGATGAATTAATATGAGTCTAATAATGAAATATCTTTCCCTTCCAAAAAAAAAAAAAGAGAAATCTTTCTTCTTAATGAAACGAGAACCTCTTTTTTAAATGTTACATATGTTCTCAAATCATAGATTCCTTGTGGCAGAAAAAAACAACGAAAGAGAGAAAAAAAAAATTCTTTTTATCTATTTTACTATTAAATAACATTATAGGAAGTAATCTTGGTCGTCTTTGTTAAAAGCATAATGTATTATATTTTATTATTATCCTCATTATTAGTGATTCATTTCTTCTTTTTATCTTGTTTCAATATATATATATATATACGAGTTAAAAAAAAAAAATAATTAAGATGAATAAGTGATTATTAACAAACGTCAATTCGATTACATTACGCATGAACAATTCACAAACAGAATACTATTCTATTTTATGAATGGAATAATAGAAAACTATCAGACAAAAGAGAAATGCTCTTGTAAATTTGCTAGATATCATAACTAACGGATATATATATATATATATATTTCAATGAGTTTGTGCACGACTTGTTCGAGGACGAATATAGTTAGATAAATATCAAAGTGAAGTATTCCTCTCTCTGTTTTTTTTTATTAACACCAGAAAGAAAATTGTGTTTTTTATTATATTGTTTTAGTCGTGAGTGAGATTTTTATTATTTCTAGAAGTTGAAAGCGATTCTTTATGTTCGCTGATTAATTTTTATTTTTCTCATTGATTTTGTCATTGTGGATGATGATAATTTTCGTATTTGATTTTTTGTTGATTGTATTGTTAATGAATCTTGAATGGGCATTGTAATCTATCGAAGACAAAAAAAAAAAAAGAAAATTGCAATGAATTAAAGAATGTTCTTGAAAGAATAACCTGATCATCATCGTTGATAATTATGTCTGGAACAAAATGAACATTTCGTGATGTCGATTTTCTTATTGAACTTTCCGGAGATTTAATAATAAGAATAGATTTTCTTGTTGTAGAATTTGTTAATGATGTTGCCATTATTGTATTTTTTGATCTATATAGTTGGTTAATGATTTTTAGTTTCACTGTTGGTGGTAGTGATGATGATGATTGTATATCATTATTCATCATACTGTGTGAAATAATGAATTTTTTTTCCGATAAGATTTGATATAGAACATGAATAATGATTAGTTAAATTTTCAAAAATGTTTAATATTATTAAATTTTAATTGATCTTTTTCTTCATATATTTTTTTAATTAATTTTTTTTATATGAAAAATCCATTGATCTAGATTTATTTTGATGAAAAATATTTGTATGATTTATTTGAATAGGTAAATTATTCAATGTATTTGATTCATATTGAATAAAATCATGACTATAAAAACGGAACATGATTTATTTTTGGTAATAGAGAATAAGATGAAATTGATGATGATCGACTTGATCGATCAACATAATATTCGCCTGATAATATATCATTTTGATTCCAAGGATGAAATTTATCAAAAGTAGATTGAGATAATAGAGAACTATTCGAAACATTTCGACGAGTTGGTAATGACGCTATTAATATTGGTGATAGGATAGAATATCGACATACTATTCCTAATCGTGACTAACATATAAAAAAAAAACAAACGATTTCGAAATGTTACTTGAATATAAGAGAATATATAGTAAACATAGCAACGGCTATTAAATATGGTTATTGATAAAACATACAATCGGTTTTTTTTTTTATTGACATCTTTCATGACTAAAGATACTTATGAGACTATAATTTCGTTCTGCTTACCTTTTTGTTTTTTATGACAACAAAAAAAAAAAAAAGTAAACTTTAAATCATTTAACTGTACAGTTGTTAAAAAAAACCCAGCAGGAAAATAAATGTCAAAAGGTAAAGCATAGAATGATGCTACACTGAAAAAATATAGGGTCAAATAAACGTACTTGTGTTCTTAAATCATGAGATTTTTCAATATAATTTGCATATCCATTAGTCTGAAATGTATTATATTATTGAAGCAAACAAAAAAAAAAAAAAAGTAACAAACAACATAGAATTTTAAAAAATGAAACGTAAAAATAGTTTATATAATAGGCAAGCAGATAGATAAAAATTTAATCAATGTGTTTATTTTTGGATCAGTAAACAAAGGTTGAGGGAGATATTAGTTAATATATATCAATAGGTTAATTATAAAATTAAGTAGATGAATGATTGGGTTTTGCATGTAAAGAACATTTACAATTGGCATCATGTTCACGTTTAACTCTTCGTTCAAATTCTCTCACCTCATCTGCCGATAAAAAGTGCGATCGTGTTGCATCAATCTAAAAAATATAATATTAAGAGATAATAGTTTATATCTAAATAATTATATATATTTTACTTGTCGATGTCTTGGCATAGGTGCAATATATGCTCGATTTCTTTGTTGTCCACCATTATTTTGAATACGTTTTTGTTCTTCAACTTTATATTGATTTGCTGCACGAACTAATTTTGAATATGTTTTTCTCTTTCGTTCTGTCTGAAGCTAACAAAAAAAAAAAAAATAATACGATAAAATAAATTAATAATAAAAATTAATTTCGAACTTTTTCTTCAAATGCTAGATGATCAGTATTATTACCAAATGCAGGACCAAAACCACCATTTTGTACAAAAGTTTTATAGTCTGTCATAACTGATTTTTGATTAGTTTTTTCATCTTGTAAACGACGTCGATGATTTTTAAATGCACTTACATAACTACCTATATAATAAAAACAAAAAAATAAATAAATCTATATATTTTCTATTAATTAATATTAAATAATTAACCAGGATCAGGTACTGCAAGACCATAAAGATATTCATGAACATTAAAATTATTTGAACGTGGAACATTTGAATGTATTGAATCAGATTTATTATCATCGTTTTGATGATGACGTGGTTTAAATTTTTGTTGATTTTGATTTGATTCAGGTGAATGATTATTATATGGAGATGAATTATGACTTTCTCTACCGGACATATAATCTGTTGATGGTGTTTGACGATTATGATCAATGATTTGTACACGTTTTTGTATTGGTTGTGGTGGTGGTGGTGGTGGATGATTTAATGTTCGATTATCAATTTGTAGATTTGTATAACCATTATTTCGTGGTTGTATTGGCATATTATATTCATTATGAGAATTATGATAGACGGTTAAATCAAGATTTACATTCGACTTTTCATTATATTGATCTTTTGAATGTTGATGATTTTGAAGAGCAGGTGGAGGAGGAGGTGGTCCAGCTGGTATTGAACGTCTTGGTGGTTGTTGATTTATTGTTTGAGGATGATTTCGATGATTAATAGGTGGAGGAGGAGGAGGAGGAGGATATCGTGCATTGTATGTTCTATTATTTCGATCAATCTTAGAAGAAAAATGAAATTGCAATAAACATTATTCTTTGTAATAAATGTCAAACAAGCAAAAAAAAACAACAACAAATAAAAAATATTTTTTGCTAGATTTTTAACTTACAGTTTCAGAATTTAGTCCTGCTCCAGAAGATGGATAATATGTATCAAAAGTCGTAGGATAGATGGATGTAGTTGCTACGGTAGGTAGTTTCCATGTTGGTGCCAAAAATGAGTATTCTTCTTCGAGAGCATTCATCTTTTTTTCTTTTTTTATACTATTACTATAACATACATACAAAGTAAATCATACAATATATGTTTGAGTATGTGACCATTAAATGTTGCTCTTTACAAATGCACAATGTTTACTTTATAATAGTTGAAGCCTTTGACGCAGAAAATTTTTTTCGTTTACCATCAATATGATGTAAAGATTTAAAGAAAAAAGAATTATTTCAATATGAAAAATCACTAAGAAAAAAAAAAAGGACGTTCTTTAGTAAAACATACAAAAAAACCACTTTGACATACTTTAAGTCAATTTAACTTTACAATAAAAATCATGCTGTTATTCAGCAAATGTAAAAGATACAAGTTAGTATTTAAAAAAAGAAAAAAAGAAGAAAAAAATTCGAAATAATCAAAAATAAAAAGTAAAAGATTGATGGAAAGTAACTAAACAGAGAACGATCGAGAAAAACGAGAAAGTATTAAATGGTGTTGATGTAAAATGCGTCTTAGCGACGAATAAAAAAAGAAAAAAACTACGTACTCTTTGTTGTCATTTGTTAAAAATAGAAGTATGTTGTTTTTTTACTCTTGTTCATAGTTTAGATAAATATTGGTAATATGTTAATATTTTCTTTGCAATTAATTTTTAAATTTTTTCTTTTTTTCTCTTAACAAACATTAGGCAAATTTTGTATGTTAAACAATATGAAAAGTTTACTTGCTTCGAGAATAATTATTTATGATAATATCTATTATTAGTAAAATATAATATTGATTAGAATAAAACTCTAATTGATTGTAGTCATATTTTCTAGATTTAGATGATCAAACTAGATTCATTCAAATATCAATATTTTCTATTGAATGTCATCAATCATAAGATAAGAATCATTTCAAGATTGATATTATTTATCGAATTAATTCAATGCTATAATCGATCTGTATTGACTTAAAATAGTTTTGATTAAAGAAGAACGATTCGAAAGACTTCGGAAACTGGTAGGAATTCGAAAGTAGTAATACAATGATGGGGGGCGACTCTGCTTGGCTACAGCTATTTCCTGTCGGAAGCTCGGAAATACAATCATTGAATCCGAACATCCTATTCCTGTTTCTACCTTTCTATCATTTTGTACAATCGATCACTTATCATTCATCTGAATATTTAAATTATTTTTAACTTAAAATGATGAATCTTCTTTTTTTCGATAAACTTAAATCGATTGACAATTTGATATACATGAAAATAAAGAAATATATCGAGTAAATATATATTCATGTTATTTTTCATAGAAGAATGCCCTGTATTAGAATTTATTATTAATAAATAAAAAACAGAAGATAAAGAGTAGAAAAAAAAAAATGTTTTGTCATCGTACAACAATCTATCGTTTTTTATATCGTGCACCTTCCAATGATTCAAGTGTTTTTTCTTCTCGTACAGTAAATAAATCATCATCAGTATCACGATTTTTCATTCGAATACTTTGTTGTTCACTTGTTTCATCATTTTCACTTTCTTCAGTTTCAGTTGTTGTTCGTACAGATGAATTATTTTTATGAAAACGTTTTTTTTGTTTTTGTTTACGACTTAAATTAAAATCTGATATATCTTCATCTTCATCATCTGATGGTTGATTTGTACTTGATTGATCAGTAAACATTGATGTACGATTATTTATATTTTCATTATTATTTGTATGTTTTGTATATGTTCTTGCTGTTGTTTTTATTGTTGAACTTGAATTAGATCGTTTTGATGATTTTAAATCATTATTATCATCATTTATATCTTCATGAGATGTTGTTTCATCACTTGATTGAGATTCCTAATTAATAATAAGAATGTAAATATTTTTTATGAAAAAATAAAAATTAAATACATACTTGATTTAGAATAGGCAAAGGACGTGGACGATATTGTATTGGATTTCCTTGAGTACCATGATGTAAAGCAAAATTTCGATAACGAACACGTTCACCATAAGATTTTGATTGATTATAAAGTTCTTTCTAATAAATAAAATAAAAGATAGTTCAAAATTTTATTTGTTGAATGTAATATAAAGCAAAACAAAAAAAAACAACACCTTTTCTTCTTTTGTCATAGAATAAAGATTTCCTTTTTTAAGATCAATAAAATCCGACCATGGTGATGGTTTAACAGCATTATGAAGTAAATCATCTTTAGTTGAACGTCGAACATAATTTCCATAATTTAAACGTTTTGCTGTTGATTCATTCTATGTAAATTAATAGAAATGAAAAATATACAATGTTTGTTTTTTTTTCTCTTCTATACTAATTAAACAAAAATTATTTTACTGATTCGCTTTGTTGTTGTTCAGCACGATCTGAACGAAATTTAGTTAATGCTTCACGAAATCGTTCGGCAGAATCTTTATGAATATTTTCACGTTGAACAGCTGAATTATTTTGATCCTAAAAAAAAAAAAATTAAAGCATTTATTTAAGCGAAAATTTCATATTCAATCTAATAAATAATACGAAAGACTTCATAACTAATATATTGCAAAAGAAAAAAAAAAATCTCTCATCGATTACAAGAAGAAATTTTTGAATAATTTTCTTTAAGCTTACACTATGATCAAAATATCACTGTATTAAAATGTAACTATAGATCTAATTAGTATCGATAAATTCGTTTTGTTGTGATACTGATATCGATTTCATCTCAATTAAACTTCGATGAAAGGACTTTTTTTTTTTTTTTTTATAAATTTAGTCTCGACAGAGTGTATCTTAAGCTTTTATTGATAGAGAACAATCATATAAGATTCGATTAACTTGAGCTCACCTCCTCATTCTCAAAAATTCTTCTTGGACCAGGTACATTTACATTACATGAAAATATTCAACTATATACCATGATGTTGTCGAGAGGTATTCAACATACCAAGGCAAAAAATAGCTCATTTAATAACGAAAATTTTTCTGTAAGTCTTTTTTTAAATTTTTACTTTTTAAGTGAAGAAAAGGTCAAAGTGTCACAAAATGGCGTTCTATTTCGAAACATACTCTTCTGCATAATAGTGACAAAGCATCATTCAAAAATGCGAATCTTCCAAAACAAAACAACTATTAGCTGCAATGAAGTTCATTAGACAGGTCTGAGATTTATGATTAAAAAGTGAAAAATTGAAAAAGATTTCCTGTCTTTTCTGAAAACAGCCTATTTGTCAAGAAGGTAATGACAGAAATCATCAAACATTTCTGCAAAAAAGAAAAAGGAAGTGCCGAATAATAAAAACTCATATCATTTATGAAAAGAGTCTCAATCAATGAAATTTATGTTGACGTTATTTCCTTGTCTATGATTTATTTAATGTCTAGTCATAAACAAATAAATGGAAATAGGAATTGAAAAAAGGTGATTAATATCTTCTAGGATGAATTTTGAATGCTCGATAAAGTCTAAAAATGAATCATAGTGATTGCGACATCAAAACTGAAAATTTCGAAATTTGCCGGAACTAGGAGAAAAAAAAAGTTGATTCAATCAGAACTATAAGATTATAGTTAAATATTCTATGGTTTTAAAGAAATTAATTTATGAATTATACTAATCAGAACATAACTCAAACAGATGATCGATATATAAATGCTAATCATCGATTATTGAAGACATTTTTAAAGATATGATTTTCTCTGAACTGAAGCCAAAAAAAAAATTTGGTCCTGTACATCTCTATTTGAGCCCTATAGAAGACACCTACATATCGCCAGATCACTGAGAGCATATGAGCGCTCATCTATTACAATAAATCACTATTTTAATCTTTAAAACTAACTAACTTGTTTTGGTACTTGTTTTTTATTTGAATTATTTGTAATATTTGGTGGTTCATAATGAGAAGCTTTTCTTGGTGAAACATATTTTGGATAAATTGTTGTTTTTGGTTGATCTAAATAAATTCATAATATAAATGTAATAGTTTATTAAGAAATTTTACGAAATGAAGTTGAATTTGGTTTATTTCGCATTGATAATGTTCGTTGATATGATAAATTTAAATTTTGTTGATTTATTGAAGATTTTCGAAAAAAATTTCCATCAAATAATGAATCAAAATATGAACCAGTTCTCATTTGAAATGATTCTTCACGAACTCTATTATCATTAATTGTTGTTGATTTATTTATTATTGGTTGATTATCAAGTTTTTTTGATAGATTTGGTAATGCACGTGATGATTTTGCTTTTTCTTTTTCACGTTGTGCTTGCATTGTATGTAATTTATCAATTTTAGTTGTCCATGCTTGTTGACCAAGTTTTTCATCTATTGATGTTTCATCTTTTTTTTCACTTGATGATACTTGATTATCAATAGATGTTTGTTGTTTGTCAGTTTCAGTTGATGCTGAAGTTGTTTGAATTTGATTTTCTTGTTTTGTTAATGTTGATGATGGTGATGGTATTATTGTTTTATTTTTTATTGAAATTTCCATTGGTGATGTTTTTCGTAGAATATTTGCTGATAAATCTGGAAGTGAACGTTGTGTAGGTGTTGATTTTTCATCATTTGTTTGAATTGTTGGTCCTACGGGACTCCAAATCGTATTCATATGTGGACTTCGATCAACATCATTAAATAATCTATTATAATTTTGTTGATAATTAGGAAACATATTCGTTGATCCATTATAATTATTATCATTCATTGGTTGTGCTACATTTGATGCTGGTGTTGTATGTGATGATGTACCAAGACTTTCAGAATATTCTCTTATATTATTAAATGTATTATATGTAGGTTGTGGTAGAACATCTCGACGCCAATCAGTTATTGATGATGTTCGATGATTTGTTAATGGATAATGAGAATATACTGTTGAACGATAACTTGTTGGACCAAGATCTAATTGATTAAATGTTAAATCATCACTATGTAAACGACTACCACTTGTATAAGGAATAGAGGATTCATGAAAATTTCCAAATGATGAACGTTGTACAAGATCATCACTTACTAATGTAGATCGATCATATGAAGGAGGATAAGCCGTTAGAAGATTTGTTGCGTAGCTCATGATGTCGTCTTTTTTTACTTATATATCGAATAATGTTTGAAGCAAAAATTTTATGAAATTCTTTTTTTTTTTTTCTTCTTTTCTTACTTTACATACGTTTGTATTGTCATTTATAAAAATACAAATCCTTTTAATGTAAGATGTATGTATACTGTTGAGAGTGTGAAGTAAGCATGATGTAAAAAACAAAATACACAAGATTGAAAGTCAAATATTGCTATATGTGTAAAAAAAAACAATTCTTAATTGCACTATTCAAGTTTCTTTTCGTTCGAGATTTCTTTTTTTTTTGTCAAAGCAAAACATGTATACTTTATTTCGTTTCTGTTCATTATAATGACATGTTCTATGTTTTGTTTTCTATCATCGAATATGTTGTCTATTAACTTTGTCTGATAATTGATGATCATATTACATTTAAATGTATATTGTGTTCACTTTTTTTTCAAGGTCCTACTGTCTCTATATGTATATATATATATATATGTATACATTTCTTAAAGTATATACGTGATGATTAAGACTACGTCCATTGTACCATTAAATGACGAGACAGACACAGTGATCAAATGACTTAAATTGCTAAATGATGCCATTAGAGTATATGATTATGTGAGCATGTATAACGAAATTTGAGAACGAAAGAGAGAAAAGTTAAATTATCGACCAAATCTTATGCTCACTAATCGTGTTTTACATTCACCATCAACAGTATTGAATCTATGGGTCATCAAAAAATGATCATTATCTTTATCTTTTTAATTCTTAAACATTTTGTTTATAGTGAAGGTAACTATACTAAATAATCAATATTTCTTGATATATATATTATAAAAACAAAATAAATTTCTATAGATATCTGTAATTCTATCAATTGTGGTTCTGGTACTTGTATAACAACAACAAATCCTACTCTACCATATTATTGTCAATGTTCAAATGGTTTTAATACAATTTTACCATGTCCATCTGAAAGTTTGTATCAATAATTTAATTTATTATTATTATTATTATTATTGTCTTAATTAGATCCATGTTCAAGAAATCCATGTGGTCAAGGAGTATGTGAAGTTGTACCAAAGTTACTTTATGGTTACTTATGTCGATGTGCTGGTGATATAATATCATTAACAAATTGTAACGGTATATTATTTTTAATGATTATTTTTTGTTTTTTGAATATTTTATTCAAATCAATAATATTTAGTTACTCGTAATGTTTGTGCTTCTAATCCATGTGTTAATGGAATATGTATTGAAGGTTTAACAAGTTATATTTGTCATTGTTTACCAACATGGACAGGAAGAATGTGTAATGGTTAGTATAGAAATATTTTAATAAAAAATTAAAACATTATTTTATATATTTTTTTATTCCTAGAAAAAATTGATTCATCTTGTTCAAATAATCAATGTGGTTCAGGCAAATGTTTTCAAATAAATGATCCATCTCTTCCACATGTATGTTTATGTTCAAGTGGACAATTTGCAGTGTCTTGTCAGAGTAATATGATTGATTTTATTTTATTTTTTGCTTTCTATTAAATACAAAACTATTCAAATTTGATTTTGATATCAGATACAATATATCCATCTATGACTACAGATCGAATAGTTACAACTATGACACATTCATCTAATATATGCAATCCATTGATTTCTCAAAGTTGTATGAATAACGGTCAATGTCTTCTGACAATAAATGGTTATCAATGTCATTGTACATCAGGTTTTACTGGAAATTTTTGTGAAAAGAGTAAGTTTTTTGAAATTTATTTATTCATATTTTAATTTTTTTGATTCAATTATCAAGAAACTGATCAATGTGCATCGAATCCTTGTAAGTAAATTGATAATGAAAATCAAAATTGAATTATAAATATTATTCAATTAGGTATTAATGATGGTATCTGTTATGATCTTCGATCATCTTATATATGTGCTTGTTCAGATGGTAGTTTTCGTTCACAATGTTTATCTAATACAGGTAATATATTTTAGCATTAAGAAAATCATTTATTAATAAGATTATAATAATTAATATAAAATACGATTAAATGAATTTTATTTATTAAACTATAAATAACTTTGCCATCTATTTTTCATAAAAACTGATGGTTCCGATAGTTTATTCCTTTTCTTTTTTTTAATCAAGTTGATACTTTCAATCTTCAAGAGATTTTCATATACTCCTGGTAAATTATGTCAAATGATGTCATACTTCTTGTGGTTGACGAAATCTTCGGCTTTTCTTCAGATTGATAACATCCTATACAATAATTAGTCTAAATGACAGTACATATTCAACATGCTTTCTAAGGAATCATTTTGACAACAAAATTAAAATTTAAGTATAAATATCAGTTAATATGATAATCATATCAGATTATTTTTTTCTAAAATAATTTTTTCATAGTCTTCGATTTAATTATCAAAAATTTTAATAAAAACTTTTTGTTTTTTTAGTCTCATCAAAAACAGTTAGTAATTTTAAATGTCCATGTAAAAATGGTGGTCAATGTACAATGATAGATTTAAAACCATGTACATGCCCGAATGGATTTACTGGTCGTTTTTGTGAAAGTTTATTAAGTAAGAATTTTATTTTGTCGTCGAAACTATAATTTGACTGAGAAAAAAATTTTTCCAGATACCATGAGATGCAATCATACCAATTTTATAAATATAGTTTCAAAGACGACATATTCTAGTATTATCATCAAATTAAAAAAGAACATTTCAGAATTGATCAAACTTTATGAGTTCTAAGACAAAATCCGTCAATTCTATAATCTTTTGATTAATATTCAAACAAATCAAATAATACCATTGGATTGAATATTCAAAATTGAGTGCTACTGGTAGAAATTACAGACGAAAACTTGTAGTTCTCACCCAACTGGCCTTTCGAGGGTATTTCGGCGCCTCGATTTTGCACTGTCGATGTCTTCTAAGATACCCATCGCCGAGCCCTTGACCCATCGAAAAATGGCAATCCGAGGGGTCGATTTGAAATTCCGATGGGTATAGCTCGTGTCTCAAAATTGTACCATCACAGATGTTTCAAAGTTTCGATCTCGTGCTTCTGCTAACTATCAATGTACCTACCATCAGGCTCTGGACCCATCGGAATTTCAAATCGACCCCTCGGATTGCCATTTCCCGATGGGTCGAGGGCTCGGCGCACCCCTCGCATGTCTTTTTCGGCTTGCTTGGGCAATATTATACTTTTGATAATCTTCATATTCATGTTAATCATTCGTAGGAACAACAATTAACTTTGAATAGTCTATTCGATGAGCTATCCTTGCTTGATTTTTTAAAGATGTGATGTAGATCTCTAGTTTGTTGTTCAAATAAAAGAATATATTATAGCTATGTTAATAGCTTATTATTATTTTAGCAGTTAATAGTTGTCAACAAGTGAATTGTCTTAATGGTGGTACTTGCTATGAAAATTTACCAGGTTCATCTGTTGCAAATCATTGTTTATGTAAAACTGGATACACTGGAAAATTTTGTGAAATTGGTTTGTAGATTTTAAATTCACTTATCATTTATATACTTTCTTTTTTTAATAGAATATTTTCGATGTCAATTAAATGGTCGCTTTACTGATGAATATAATTGTGCTAAAGGAAAATATTTTGAATGTATTCATTATGGATATGGTATGAGATTTCACTGGTTTTTTTTAATCTTTATGTATTTTTTTATGTAGGAAATTTAGATGGACCAAATAAAAATGGTATATTATTGAGTCGAAAATGTCCTTCATCACTTCGATATAATGTTCTTACTGATCAATGTGATTATTCGATAAATGTACCATGTATTGAAAGTGAAACAGAACATTTTCGTTTATAAATTTTGTTGTTAATGTTCGAATATTAGCTTAGATAAACTTCATTTTAATCATCGATTGTCATCTTCTTAGAGTTGTTAATGATGTTGTGATAATAGATTATTCTAAATTAGCTTGGAAAAAGCAAAAATATCTCATGTCGTTTTACAATCATGGATTGATATATTTAGTTGTTTTGAATTGGATGTGAGTGGGTAGAGCAGTTAGACCCATATTCTCACACCCAACCCACACTCTTGAATCAAGTGGTATAATTGGATATGACCATAGGAAACAAGTTCTTTTTTGATTGACCTCCCCATGAAATTAATAAAGTGTACTTTTATATTGAGTTGTATTCGTTGTCTTCGTACAATTTTTGTAAAAGTCTTACGAAGGAACATATTCAACTGTCGAAGGGACACATACCCACAGCAACACTCTAGTTCGTGAGCGCATTGTCAAGTTGTTTTGCCTCACCGTCTCTGATTTTACTCGTGAAAAGCTCGAGTGTGATGAGCCTATGTAAAACTTCAGAGAATGAAGGGCAAGATAAGTAGTAAATGTTATATTATCCTGTTATGGAAGATGCCACATTTTGTGATCTAATTGTTATATTCCTCCTATTGGCATTCTGATTTCATCGTCATTTGATGATCGTATTGTTTGAGGGGTTAGTTTACACGATTAATTATTAATCTCTAACGACTCATTAATTATTTTAAATGCTCTTCGATGGACTGCTTTTGAATGAATACAAACCATTATATTAAATGGAAGTTTTTTCTTTTGATTACCATTTAATAATGATTGTTTTGGAATATTATAGATAGAATTGATTCAACATCATTCGAAAAAAATTTAACAAATACAACTTAATCATTCTTACATTTACTGCAATTAAATTAACTTAAGCTTCTATATTTGAAGCTAATAATTTTTTTTGCATTTCAGCATTATTAAGTTGATACAAACAGAAACCAATGAAATTATTATTTCTTGTTTTCTTTTTAGGCGTTATACATTTTACGCTGCTATCATTCATCGAACATCTATTTTTCTTTCAAATACTATTGATAATAATCTTCTTTCATTTTCATTTGGTTAAAAAGAAATAATTGATGAAAATTTTTCTACTATATTATAAACTCATAAT